ATTATTATATTATTATTGGTTTTTTCTTATTTTTTCTATTCTTTATCACTTTGTTATTATTATTTTTTTATTTAATACTTTTTTTATTTACATTCATATATATATATATTATTAGTTTATTATTATTATTATTATTTTGATTAATTATTTTAGTTTTTTTTTTTTCTTTGATTTATTTTGTATATACATTTTCTATTTATTACATTTTTTATTTTGTGTTTTTTCATATACATATATATATATATATATATATATATTATTACTACTTACTTCTTATTATATTTTTCTTTCATTTATAGTTTTTTATATTATTTTTATCATCATGTTTTCCTTTCCTTTTCTTATTTTATTTTTCCTTTGATTTATTTATTTATTTCTTACTTTATTTTATTTTTTCTCCTTTCTTTTGATTTATTTAGTAGTTTTATTTATTTATTTCCTCTAACATTTTAACTTTTTAGAGAAATTCTCAACTAATCAAAGGTAAGTAACTCGAATCAAATACTTTTAAATTTTAATTTTAAATTTTCGCAACTAAGGCAACCGATAAATTAATTGGTACCGAAAGGGCGGTTCAAGGGTGCTAATCCTTCTTTGATCGTAACCGACTCCCAAACTCGACACGTTTATGGTACAACACAGATCAGGTAAGATGGTGTCCGACCCACCTAAATTTGTTTTAAAGTGATTGGTGGCGACTCCTAATAATTTAATCCAAGTCGAAGCTAAATTCCGGACTCAACCGAAAGATGATTCCGACATATATAATATAACATCATTAAAAGAAAGGAGGAAATCTAGTGGAAATATCGTACTCTTGTGTTATTTTCCGGCTCTCGTGATTTCCTCTTAGATTCTCTCTCTATAAAGGACTTTCAAGGCCTTTAAGAGTGTGACAGTCTTAACTGAAGTAGGATCCACGATCTGCCCAAATGCAGCAAAGGTTAAAAGAAAATCCCAGTCTATTCAAATTATAAAATTTGCAAACAGCTGAAATTTTTTTATTTTTGAGAATAGGAAACACTATTAAATGATCTCATTTCTATCCATATCTCACACCCTCAACCATCTAAAAGCTTAGACGGGGCTCTACAATTTAATTCATATAATAATAATCAGAGATGAATTAAGAGGTTGTCTCCTAAAAATTTTAAATTCTCATATAATTTAAGAGTTTTCTTTATATTTTTTTTCATTAATAATATGTTTTCGCCCCTTAAAATTTTATAAATATGTACCTAAAATTTTATAAATTCTCTTAGCATAAAATCTTACGTTTTCCCGTACATGCAATTAATATTTTCTATTCATGACAACAACCCTCGCCAATATTGACACATGTCCTAACTTAGCCCCAACAAGAATTTTGGTGTCACATATTTAAGAAAAAATAACTCCTCTCCCTTAGAGGTAAGGACCTAAAAGAGTACGCTTGTCCACAGTAGTTTAGATGGAGCTCAGCACGCACAAACACTATTCGCACCCTAAATTCTCAACAGTTTAAGCATTCAAAGAGGGGACACTAAACAATAAATTTGCAGCAAACTCAGTAGCATGAATATAGAACATGGAACCACTGGATTTGACACAATTTAAGCACAATAACCAACAAATCTATCAACATATGAAGAATTAAAGGTAACTGATGCCTCCCTTTTTTGGCAAAGCCAGGAAAGATTTGATACAAATCTGATTCTATAAAATTCCACTAATTAATCCAAAAAATATCACATAAAAAAAACATGAATATGATGAAAAATAACAAAACACAATAGAGATCAGAACATATTCACCAAATATTATTCACAAAAGTATAGCACAAAAAGAAGAATAAATGAAAAACGGCCTCACACTTTATTTTAAAATCACAAAAAAATCAAATAATCAAGACAAAAGTTTAAACAAAAAAAATCAAAAGAAACAAACTGACCTACATAATCTCCCATGAAGAGATAATTAACTATGATGCACTGATACGGATACGGGGACGGGGACGGGGATGGAAACGACAATTTTTAAAATTACAGGGTACGGGGACGGCAATGATACGTCATATAAAATAATTTTAAAATTATAAATATATATTAAAAAATCATAAATAAAGTCAAATATCAAGACTCAAACCACAATATTAAGTTTAGAACAGTAAAATTCATAAACAAACCACAATATTAAAATATCAAATTTCAAGATTCAAACCACAATATTAACTCTAGAATAATAAAATCCATAATCAAATCATAATATTAAAGTGTCAAATCTTAAGACTCAAACCAGAATATTAAGTCTAAAAAAGTATTAAACCTAAATCAAACATTGTTAACATCTTCCGAGATTAACTGGCTCTCTAAATCCAGCTCATCAAGCGAGAGTTCGGCAAACTCTAAATATCTAACATCTCTCAATGAATCAAAAGCATCTCCACCAACATCCCACATCTTGATTTTCTCATCCTCATATTGACTAGAACTCCTTGATAAAAGACGAATATTGTAGTGGATGTAAACTAAATCTTCGGCGCGACTCATATTTAACTTATTCCTCCTAAGTGAGTGGATAAAAGAATAAATGTTCCAACTTCTTTCACAACAAGAAGATGAAGTAGGTTGTCCAAGCACTTTGAAATCCAAAGATTGAAACAATGGAATTTCGGCACCAAATTTAGCCCACCAACTTTTCGGTTCTGAAGAATACCTCTTTGTAAGAGAGGTCAAATCTTCAAAAGGCCCGAGCTTAAGTGAGAAACAAGCAAATTCATTCAAGACTTTGTCATAATCATTATCATTTTAAAATAACCTACGAAAACATTTCATTTTCTCTCGAGATATTTCACCATCTCTATGAGGAGTAACTCTACCAGATCATCGCTTAGCTAACCATCACTATAAAACCTTCAACATATTAACAAGAAAATTAAGCATAGCATCAAAGAATTAGGAGTTGAAAATATAAAATTCAAAACTAACAAAGTTATTTTTTTTAAAAAAATTAATGTAAAATGCCAAAATTACCCCTGGAGACGCATGTGACAATCACATACTGTCCCCAAAACGTCCCCAAATCCCGATCGACCGTCTTTGAGATTTTTCAGCCATATCCTACCATCGTGGCACGTCCCCGTGCCGGGAACGTATTGGGTACTTGAAACGGGACTGATATGCCGTCCCCGTGCTACATAGATAATTAGTATCAGGCGCATTGTCTCCTATCCGGAACGGCTCTATTAGATCATAAAAGTCTCTGTGAATATCTCCACATACCGTTACCGGGCATTTAACTGGCTGCACGTTCCATTCCTCCACCAGTATCTCTCGTGCCTGCTCGCATAACGCCTTCACCTCCGCCTCCGAGAGTGGCTTACACTTCATCAGTTGCTCGATTTGACGTTCTAGGTCTCCCGTTGACGGTAACCTCTCCGTTCCTCCACGTTCGGGTCACTTGATCCACCTCCCCCTTCCTTCTCCTTCACCACTGACCGTTGAGTCAAAAAAATAAACAAATAAAAACCGGTCAGATCGGTTGATATGAATCCTTGAAGAGTAATGGATTAGGTTCATACGTAACGTTTCGGAGGTTAGGTTCTGGGATTCGTTTTCGATCTATATCTTTCATCTCTCTTCGATTTTCTCCCATAAAAAGGGGGATAAAATGAAGAAATTGCCAACGCCAAAATTACGAGGAACGAGAGAGCTTTGTTCTTTTTTCTCTCTCCGGTTGTTCTGCCAAGTCAAAATGCTTGAGAGAAATGGCACGTGTCAATTTACTATTTTTCTGTGATAAAAAACATTTATCTGTTATTATATATTAAATTATTCTTTAAAATATTTTTCGAAACGGATTGTTTTCTAAAGTTTAAATTGTTATTTCGTTTGTCCCAAATAGTTAAATCCATTAAAAAGTACAAAGATAAATTATATATTTAATTACTCAACTATTCTTACAGTTCTATTTTGGTCTCTAATTATTTTTTTTCAAATTTATCACTAACCTTAAATTATTGTTCCATTTTAGTCTTCCTATTCAATTCGGTTTAGTTTTAAAATTTGTAATATAAAAATTATTTATATCATATTTTTTACTTGACACATAATTTATATAATAAGCAATATTATAACATATATAAAAATCGATTTGATCTTGTATTCATACAATTTTTTTGTCTCTGCATTGAAAGCTTGTCTATGTGAAATATCAGGATTTACTAATTTAATGCACAATATCTCCTCTCTTTCGATATAAAAATTCTAAAATATGATTATATATAAATAGGGACGGAGCCAACATTATATTTGATAGAGGTCGAAATATTTAAAAAACAAATGACATTACGTATTCATCAAAATTTAGCATGAACCAAGTGATCTTAGTGATTAAGAGATTGTTGTTATCCTTGAGGTTCTGAGTTTGAACATTGTGTATGTAGGGTATGAGTGTTCATTGTCAAATAATTTAGAGTCTTGGTACTATAATATCTTGTACTCACCCCATATTTTTATATTAAAAAACTCAAAATTCACAAATCATATCTAATTTGTCTAATATTTTAAATTATAATGACTTAAATTGTTATTATACCAAAACTTTGAGAACATGAGATTATCATTATTTAGTTTAGCTACTACTCGATTAAATATTTAATAAAATTTTTATATTTTTACATGAACCAAAATATTATTAGACCAAAATTATATCGAATATATTAAATTTTTAACAAGGACCGAGGCCTCTTTGGGCCAACAAAGCTTCGCCCCCATATATATATATACTCGCGCGCACTGAAATAGCATTGCTTACTTCATAAATCGATTGTAAGCATATGGAGTAGGAGTGTTCAGATCCAATCCGATCCAAAAAAAACTGAATCGATCCAAAAATCGATAACTGAAAAAAACCGAAACCAATTTAGTATGTTTGGTTTTTTTAAACTGATCGGTTCGGTTCAGTTTCAATTTGGAAATCCGGAACCGATCCAAACCGAACCAAACCGATAGTCTCTTACAATGAATGTCTATCTCCATGCGCAGAACGACACCGTTTCAAGTTCAATAAAAAAAAAGAAACCCTTTTCTTGGCTAGCGCTCACTCACTGGCCAAAAATTGAAACCCTAACCCACTTTCGTTCGTTCCCAATTTACTCCGCCTCTTCTCATCCTCCTCTAGCACAGCCCCGCACTCACAACCCAAACGACTCTGCTCCGTATCATCCTCGCTCACAGCCCAGTCACGGTTTTGCACCCCTCACTCCATCACGATTTTGCTCCCTCCACTCGGAGTCTATTTTCACCATGGTTGTTGCAGTGTATGTCACTCTTTCTTCTCTCTCTTTAGACTTTATGTATTAATAATTTCTTTGCGATGCGAGATCTGAGACTGTGATTTTGTTTATGCAGGTTGAGTTCTTCATATGCTTGGTCCTCACTATTCTAGGTTATATTCCTGACATCATTTATGCTCTCTATGGCATTATCTTCGTTAACTGTGATGAGTACTTTGATGATTACTTGCTCTTGATACTGAAAATTTAGTTTGTATGTTTCGTTGAAACTTGAAATTGGTGGATTTGTTGTTTTTTGCTCGAAGCTTCAATGACTTTCATGCAAGGATTCCTCTGTCATGTTTCGTGTTTGTGCCTATTGATTTTGCATAGATCTATAGCTCGAGTAATATAGTGATATTAGCCTTCAGTTTTAACTTTTGAGGGTGTTTGGATATGTATTTTAAGGGCCACCGGAAGTGAATCGATGTTGTTTACAAAATCAATTGAAATTTTCGTACTGTAGATTTAAATGCTTAGAAATTGATATTCTATTGTTTCTAGTCTTCGTTTCCCTCTCTTCTGTATATATCCTCGTCCACTATTTGAGGGTAATATGTAGATTATTATTATTATTTATTTTCTTTGGTTCTCTACCAAATAAAGTCTTCTGATTACAATCTTATCAGAAGATCTTCTTTCTTGTGTTACTATATGCAGTCTTGATTATACTTGCAATGTCAAATTCTCAACAAGTGTTATGGGATTATCTTGAGTATAATCCCTGCTTATTAATTTAATTCTGGCCTTAATATTGTGACAAATCTTGAAAACATGCATAATAACTTCGGTGTTATTTAGTTCAATGCCATTTCCCATTCAAAAGTTTTAGAATGACTGATAAGTTTATATACTAGTCTATATAAGAAGGATTTTGAAACTGAACCAGAGCATTATATTGCTATATGATATGTGATATACTGATATCATCTTTATTTTTGACCATGTGTAACATATCAGTTGTTTGCTACGATGTGACTTTAATACTAGAAGTAACATATAGTTTTATACTATAAATTTATCGTCAAGGTTAAATTCTCTGTGAACCAATGTGAAAGTTGTCTATTATTTGATTTATAATGCACGACTTCTCATTATATACTTTAAAACGTTCTTTTTATATTGTATTCAGTAGAGCTTCACATTTGTTAGCTAAAAAAACTGTCAACCATTTAAAAAAAAAAGTTCTCTAGTTTAATGAATTTCAACATTATTATATGAATATGCTTCCTAAATCTTCTATTTCTTTTGGTGGAGACCTTAGGCTTTGATGCACATTACAAGTACACTAAATGTTTAGAAAAGTGATTTATGTTTTTGGTATTTTCTGGATCTTCTTGACCTTCCATTGTGCTTTGTATCACTTTTAAATTTTTATAATGTTGTTTGTCATAATATGAAAATTCGACCATCATTTGATGATTATTGAAATGTACACATGGATTTCATGCTCAGTGAATGCATTAGTTAGCATTTGCCTTACAAATATTATCACCACACTATTTCTGATTGGTTGACATTTATACTTATACCATTAGTACATAGAATTACATTTAATCAACCCTTTTTATTTTTAGTTTTGTTTTGTTGACTGGTACAGTCACAGAATTATTTATCAACCCTTACAACATGGAAGAGGTAGTCATTCATCTTCTTGACCTTCCATTGTGCTTTGTATCACTTTTAAATTTTTATAATGTTGTTTGTCATTAATGAAAATTCGACCATCATCTGATGATTATTGAAATGTACACATGGATTTCATGCTCAGTGAATGCATTAGTTAGCATTTGCCTTACAAATATTATCATCACATTATTTCTGATTGGTTGACATTTATACTTATACCATTAGTACATAGAATTACATTTAATCAACCCCTTTTTATTTTTCAGTTTTGTTTTGTTGACTTGGTACAGTCACAGAATTACATTTAATCAACCCTTACAACATGGAAGAGGTAGTCATTCATCCCCTTAACAACATGAATGAATTACATTCATTTATTCATTTTTGGTCTTAAATGGTATCACTATCATCAATTTCCTAATTTGTTTTATATATTGATGCAGGCTCAAAACTACAGTAGTGATAGAATGGAAGCTACAAATTTACATTCTAGCAAATCAACTAATGAAGTACCTAACCTGGAAGAGGCACATGATGAAAACAAAGAGGGAGGCTCTAAAGTTGAAAAGGATAAAAGGAAAAGGAAAGTTGCGGATGAACACACATCCAAGAATCCTGAGGCTAAAGATGAAGGTAACAAAAAATATTGTAGGAATACAAGATCATAGGCTTGGGATCACTTTTCTAAAGATCTCTCATGTAGCACAAAACCTAGAGCTTCTTGTAATTGGTGTGCAAAGTCTCATGCATGTGATTCTCACAAAAATGGTACAAGTAATATGATAAACCATGTGATTTTTGTTGCTGTGGTGCTTGATCCTCGTAATAAGTTTCGCTTTGTTGAGTGGGGAATGGACAAGATTTATGAGAAAGATATTGCTGGATTTATGAGTCAAAAGGTGAAAGAGGAATTGTATGAAATGTTTGAGAAGTATAGGTTTTTTGCTAATCAAGGGCAGCTTGAAACTTGTGTTCTATCATCTAATGAAAAAAGAACGATAAACACTGATTCAATTGATAATGAACTGTCTGTTGAGTTTGAAAAATACATGGATCTTCGTGAGAATTTGAATAAAAATGAATTAGACTTGTATCTCATGGAGGCATTGGAGAAGAAAATCAATCCTAATTTTGACATTTTGAATTGGTGGGAAGTGAACTCTACCAAATATCCCATTCTTGGTCAATTAGCTAGAGATGTTTTGGCTATCAATGTGACTACTGTTGCTTCAGAGTCTGATTTTAGCATAGGAGGTAGAGTGCTTAACTGTTATAGGAGCTCTCTTACACCAAAAACCGTTGAGGCTTTGATTTGCACCCAAAATTGGTGTCGATCCTCCCCAATATCAACTGATGTTGAAGAGCTCGTGGAGGATTTAGAAAAACTTGTGCTAGGTATTTTTATTGTACCTCATAGTAGTGTATTTGTTTTTGACTTAATTTTTAGTTATACTAATTGGTTATATTTTAAATATGAGAAAATAACCTCAGTGACCAAAAATGTCTTATAATATACGATTTTAACCAACTTTTTTTTGGATTTGCCAAAATGACCAACAAAATCGCAATGCGATCACTAATTCGCAACGTGATCTCAGGTATCGCAAATCAGTTTCCAGATTCGCAACGCGAACTTCAACTATCGCAATGCGAACTTCGACTATCGCATTGCGATTTACATATTCGCGTTGCGATAGTCCAAGTTCGCGTTGCGATTTTCCAAGTTCATTGCGATAGTCTCCAAGTTCGTTGCGATAGTCCCCAAGTTCGTTGCGATAGTCTCCAAGTTCGTTGCGATAGTCTCCAAATTCGCTGCGATACTCTCCAAATTCGTTGCGATAGTCTCCAAGTTCGTTGCGATAGTCTCCAAGTTCGTTGCGATAGTCTCCAAGTTCGTTGCGATAATCTCCAAGTTCGTTGCGATAGTCTCCAAATTCGTTGCGATAGTCTCCAAGTTCGTTGTGATAGTCTCCAAATTCGTTGTGATAGTCTCAAACTTCGTTGCGATAGTCTCAAAGTTCGTTACGATAGTCTCCAAGTTCGTTGCTATAGTCTCCAAGTTCGTTGCGATAGTCTCCAAATTCGTTGCGATAGTCTCCAAATTCGTTGCGATAGTCTCCAAGTTCGTTGCGATAATCTCCAAGTTCGTTGCGATAGTCTCCAAATTCGTTGCGATAATCTCCAAATTCGTTGCGATAGTCTCCAAATTCGTTGCGATAGTCTCCAAATTCGTTGCGATAGTCTCCAAATTCATTGCGATAGTCCAAAATCGCAACGGCTGGTGGTATTGTATTTGTTTCTTAAGAATTTTCTCTAAAAAGATAGTATTCGCGCGGACGTGTCGAAGACACGTATTACCACGACCACGACCACGACCCGAGACGAGACGAGACGGACAGCGGCGACGGCGCGCGAGAGTCCCCCTTGTTCTCTATCACTCAACAAGGAAGTGGGAAAGCCAAGCCTTAAATACCATTCCCAATAGTGTTTCCAATACTATGTGTGATTGAGCATTACCAACACTTGTTCCCAATAGTGTTTTAGGATACACTTTAAGTTCAATTATATTCAACATTTACTACTTGCTCGAAATACCGAGCAGAGTAGACAATATCGTGATGAATTATTTTGTTAAGTTGGTAAAGCATGTTCTTGGATTACGAGAGGCTTATTGTAAATGTAAACCAAAAATTTCTTCCGTTTCTTCATAGTTTAAAGTGCTAGTGAATTTTCAATCCCACATAGTATTGGAAACACTATTGAGAATGGTATTTAAGGCTTGGCTTTCCCACTTCATTGTTGAGTGATAGAGAACAAGGGAGACTCTCGCGTGCCGCCGCCGCCGCCACCGTCCGTCTCGTCTCGTGGTCGTGGTCGTGGTAATACGTGTCTTCGACACGTCCGCGCGAATACTATCTTTTTAAAGAAAATTCTTAAGAAACAAATACAATACCACCAGTCGTTGCGATTTTGGACTATCGCAATGAATTTGGAGACTATCGCAACAAACTTGGAGACTATCACAACAAATTTGGAGACTATCGCAACGAACTTGGAGACTATCGCAACGAACTTGGAGACTATCGCAACGAATTTGGAGACTATCACAACGAATTTGGAGACTAATGCAACGAACTTGGAGACTATCGCAACGAACTTGGAGACTATCGCAACGCACTTGGAGACTATCGTAACGAACTTGGAAAATCGCAACGCAAACTTGGACTATCGCAATGCGAATATGTAAATCGCAATGTGATAGTCGAAGTTCGCGTTGCGAATCTGGAAACTGATTTGCGATACCTAAGATCACGTTGCGAATTAGCGATCGCATTGTGATTTTGTTGGTCATTTTGGCAAATCCAAAAAAAGTTGGTTAAAATCGTATATTATAAGGCATTTTTGGTCACTGAGGTTATTTTCTCTTTAAATATTTGTAGATCTTGCCCTAATCCCGCAACTAAATAAAGAGCAATCTGATGCGGAGTCTGATTAGTTGTTGATTTGGTATCATATATTTTAATTGGTTGTTTTTCTTAATAATAGTTATATTGATTATTTTTTTAATTGGATGTCTTTCTT